TAGTCACCATCACCGTCACCGTGTAGTCACCGTCACCGTGTAGTCACCGTCACCGTCACCGTGTAGTCACCATCACCATCACCATGTAGTCACCGTCACCGTGTAGTCACCGTCACCGTGTAGTCACCGTCACCGTGTAGTCACCGTGTAGTCACCGTGTAGTCACCGTCACCGTGTAGTCACCGTCACCGTCACCGTGTAGTCACCGTCACCGTCACCGTGTAGTCACCGTGTAGTCACCGTCACCGTCACCGTGTCCCCGGTGCCCGCCAGGCGTGATGGGCCGCGAGGGGCGCCAGGCTGCACGGAGCGGCGACTTTGCCCTCCACCGCTTCTGCCACCTGCGGCGCCTCCTGCTGGTGCACGGCCACCTCTACTACGTACGCATCGCACAGCTGGTGCAGTACTTCTTCTACAAGGTACTACTACTAGTACTACCACTACTACTACCACTACTACTACTACCACCTGTACTACGTACGCATCGCACAGCTGGTGCAGTACTTCTTCTACAAGGTACTACTACCACTAGTACTACTACCACTACTAGTACTACAACTAGTACTACCACTACTACTACTACCACCACCTCTACTACGTACGCATCGCACAGCTGGTGCAGTACTTCTTCTACAAGGTACCACTACTAGTACTACAACTAGTACTACTACTAGTACTAGTACCACTACTACTAGTACTAGTTCCACTACTACCACTACTACTACCACTACTACCACTACTACTACAACTACTACGTACGCATCGCACAGCTGGTGCAGTACTTCTTCTACAAGGTACGACTACCACTACTAGTACCACTACTACTAGTACTACAACTAGTACTACTAGTACTACTACTACCACCACCTCTACTACGTACACATCGCACAGCTGGTGCAGTACTTCTTCTACAAGGTACCACTACTACTAGTACTAGTACCACTACTACTAGTACCACTACTACTACCACTACTACTACCACTACTAGTACTACAACTAGTACTACAACTAGTACTACTAGTACTACCACTACTACTACCACTACTACCACCTCTACTACGTACGCATCGCACAGCTGGTGCAGTACTTCTTCTACAAGGTACCACTAGTACTACTACCACTACTAGTACTACAACTAGTACTACCACTACTATTACTACCACCACCTCTACTACGTACGCATCGCACAGCTGGTGCAGTACTTCTTCTACAAGGTACTACTACTAGTACTAGTACCACTACTAGTACTACAACTACTACCACTACTACCACTACTACTACCACTACAACTACTACTACCACTACTACTACAACTACTACCACTACCACTAATACCACCTGTACTACGTACGCATCGCACAGCTGGTGCAGTACTTCTTCTACAAGGTACTACTACTAGTACTAGTACCACTACTACTACTACCACTACTACTACCACTACTACTAGTACCACTACTACCACTACTACTACCACTACTACTACCACTACTACTAGTACCACTACTACCACTACTACTACCACTACTACCACTACTACTACCACTACTACGACTACTACCACTACTACTACCACTACTACTACTACCACTACTACTAGTACCACTACTACCACTACTAGTACAACTACTACTACTACCAGTACTACTACTACCACTACTACTACCACTACTACTACCACTACTACTACTACTACTACCTCTACTACTACTACCACTACTACTAGTACTACTACTACCACTACTACCACTACTACTACCACTACTACTACTACCACTACTACTAGTACCACTACTACTACTAGTACTACCACTACTACCACTACTACTACCACTACTACCACTACTACTACAACTAGTACTACTACTACCACTACTACTACCACTACTACTACCACTACAACTGCTACTACTACTACTACAATTAGTACTACTACTACCACTACTACTGCTACTACTACCACAACTACTACCACTACTACTACTACCACTACTCCTACTACTACCACTACTACTACCACTACTAGTACCACTACTACTACTACCACTACTACTACCAATACTACTGCCACTACTACTGCTAGTACTAGTACCACTACTACTACCACTACTACTACCACCACTACTACTACTAGTACTACTACTACCACTACTACTAGTACTACTACCACTACTCCTACTACTACCACTAGTACTACCACTCCTACTACTACCACTACTACTACTACTGCTACTACCACTAGTACTACCACTCCTACTACTACCACTACTACTACCACTACTACTAGCACTACTACCACTACCACCACTACTACTACCACTACTACTACCACTACTACTACTACCACCACTACTACTACTACCACTACTACTACCACTACTAATACTACCCTTACTACCACTACTACTACCACTACTACTGGTACCACTACTACTACCACTACTACTACTACCCCTACTACACTACTACTACCACTACTACCACTACTACCACCACTACTACCACTACTACCACAACTACTACCACTACTACTACTACTACCACATCTACTACCACTACTACCACCACTACTACTTCCAATACTACTACCACTACTACCACTACTACTACCACTACTACTACCACTACTACTACCACTACTACTACCACTACTACCACTACTACTACCACCACTACTACCACCACTACTACTACCACTACTACTACCACTACTACTACCACTACTACTACCACTACTACCACTACTACTACCACTACTACCACCACTACTACTACCACTACTACTACTACCACTACTACTTCCACTACAACTAGTACTACTACCACTACTACCACTACTACTACCACTACTACTACCACTACTACTACCACTGCTACTACCACTACTACTACTAGTACCACTAGTACTAGTACTACCACTACTACTACCACTACTACTACCACTACTAGTACTACTACTACCACTACTACTACCACTACTAGTACTACCACTACTACTACTACCACTACTACTACCACTACTAGTATTAGTACCACTACTACTACTACCACTACTACCAATACTACTGCCACTACTACTATTAGTACTACCACTACTACTACTACTACCACTACTACTACCACTACTAGTACCACTACTACTACTACCACTACTACTACCAATACTACTGCCACTACTACCACTCCTACTACTACCACTACTACTACCACTACTACTACTACTACCACTACTACTACCACTACTACTACTAGTACTACTACCACTACTACTAGTACTACTACTACCACTACTACTACTACCACTAGTACTACCACTCCTACTACTACCACTACTACTACCACTACTACTACTACCAATACTACTGCCACTACTACTATTAGTACTACCACTACTACTACCACTACTACTACCACTACTACTACTACCACTACTACTACCACTACTAGTACCACTACTACTACCACTACTACCACTACTACTACTACCACTACTACTACTACTACCACTACTACTAGTACTACTACTTCCACTACTCCTAATACTACCACTAGTACTACCACTCCTACTACTACCACTACTACTACTGCTACTACCACTAGTACTACCACTCCTACTACTACCACTACTACTACCACTACTACTAGCACTACTACCACTACCACCACTACTACTACCACTACTACTACTACCACTACTACTACTACCACCACTACTACTACCACTACTACTACCACTACTACTACCACTACTAATACTACCCTTACTACCACTACTACTACCACTACTAGTGCTACCACTACTACTACCACTACTACTACCACTACTAATACTACCCTTACTACCACTACTACTACCACTACTAGTGCTACCACTACTACTACCACTATTACTACTACCCCTACTACTACCACTACAACTACCACTACTACTACCACTACTACTACCACTACTACCACCACTACTACTTCCAATACTACTACCGCTACTACCACTACTACTACCACTACTACTACCACTACTACTACTACTACCACTACTACTACCACTACTACCACTACTACTACCACCACTACTACCACCACTACTACTACCACTACTACTACCACTACTACTACTACCACTACTACCACTACTACTACCACTACTACTACTACCACTACTACTACCACTACTACTACCACTACTACCACTACCACTACTACCACCACTACTACTACCACTACTACTACCACTACTACTTCCACTACAACTAGTACTACTACCACTACTACCACTACTACTACCACTACTACTACCTCTACTACTACCACTACTACTACCACTACTACTACCACTGCTACTACCACTACTACTACTAGTACCACTAGTACTACCACTACTACTACTACTACCACTACTAGTACTACTACTACCACTACTACTACCACTACTAGTACTACCACTACTACTACTACCACTACTACTACCACTACTACTACCACTACTAGTATTAGTACCACTACTACTACTACCACTACTACTACTACCAATACTACTGCCACTACTACTATTAGTACTACCACTACTACTACCACTACTAGTACCACTACTACTACTACCACTACTACTACCAATACTACTGCCACTACTACCACTCCTACTACTACCACTACTACTACCACTACTACTACCACTACTACCACTACTACTACTAGTACTACTACCACTACTACTAGTACTACTACTACCACTACTACTACCACTAGTACTACCACTCCTACTACTACCACTACTACTACCACTACTACTACTACCAATACTACTGCCACTACTACTATTAGTACTACCACTACTACTACCACTACTACTACCACTACTACTACTACCACTACTACTACCACTACTAGTACCACTACTACTACTACCACTACTACTACCACTACTACTACCACTACTACCACCACTACCACTTCTACCACTACTACTACCACTACTACCACTACCACCACTACTACCACTACTACCACTACTACTACCACTACTAAAACTACCACTACTACTACCACTACTACTACTACCTTTACTACTACCACTATTTCCACTACTACTACCACTACTACCACCACTACCACTTCTACCACTACTACTACCACTACTACCAATACTACTGCCACTACTACCACTCCTACTACTACCACTACTACTACCACTACTACTACTACTACCACTACTACTACCACTACTACCACTACTACTACTACCACTACTACTAGTACTACTACTACCACTACTCCTACTACTACTACCACTAGTACTACCACTCCTACTACTACCACTACTACTACCACTACTACCACTAGTACTACCACTCCTACTACTACCACTACTACTACCACTACTACTACCACTACTACCACTACCACCACTACTACTACCACTACT